CCTTAATTCAATTTTACAATTTGTGTTGTCAAAAAGTATATTGTGATTAAAAAAAATTACGATTTAAATCTTTATTCTAGATGTTTTCATGAAAATCTATTTTATTAATTTTTTATGCTATCTTAATTGTAAAATAAAAATTCTCTATTTTTCATTTTAAGTATTTTTAATTTATTTCTATTACTTTATTTTATGTTATTATATTCTATAAATTATATGATATAATTTACCATTGAATTCTAGTGATTTGGGACATAGCTTTTGAAGATTTTGGCTATGTTTATAAAAATGTATTAGTATTTTAATTTTAAGTTATACATTTTTTCTACATTTGTTACAATTTCCATTATATCAATTAAAATTACAATATTAATGCATTTTCATTCAAAATAGCCAAACCGTCCAAAACATATGCCCCAAATCACTAAAATTGAATGATAAACTATATCGTATAATTTATAAAATATAATAATACTCCGTATAAAATAAAGAAAATAGAAAGAAATTACAAATAGTAAAATGGATAAAATAGAGAATTTAGATTTTTAGAGTTAACATAGCATACAAATTATAGAAAATATATTTTCATGAAAAAACTAGAATAAAGCTTTCAATCATAAAAATTTTAATCACATCTTACTTTTTGACAACACAAATGTAAAACTGAATAAAGGAAAATAATATAAAATCATAACTTGTTAACATAACTAGGGAAAAAAATTGAAAAAAAAATGAAATTTTAGTAAAATAAATAAAAAAACTGACTAAAAATATTTTTATTTAACTTCAGTACATGTTTAAAATAATTTAATTTGGCAATTTATAAAAATATTTTTATATTTTTCTAAAATGGAGAGTTGATAGATGTAATTGATAAAAGAAGATCAACTATAATTGAGATTATTCATAGCTTACGCATAGTTCACATTTAAATTTGACCTGCTATACCAGGTTGTAGCAGGTTAGGGACAATTTTTGGAAAATAACCTCTATAGTTGGGACCATCCAGGAATAATCGATAGTTGGGATTATTAATAGCGGACAGGCAATAATTGAGATTATTATTTTCAATTGGGATAGTTGGGACAATTTCTATAATATTTTTTGAAGGATTATTGTTACTTGTAATTCTAAAGTATAAGCCTTGATTCATGCATTCTCATATGAAGACATCTTGGGGAACGGTCCCACCATAATGGTGTATAAGAGGCAACCCTTTCTTTGTCAATTTTTTTACAAAAAATCGCTCTCAAAACTTGAACTCGTGACCTCTCAATCACACAATAAACACTTGACTGGTTTGTCAAAGCTCCCATTCTAAATAGCAATACAAAGATATTACATATTAACTTAAATATTATTCAAATACTTTTCAAATACGAATAAGAATATTGATATATCTGATTCAAGATTAATACAAAATGACTTCTCTCTCTAAAAATTGCTCTCTCCAATCTCTAAAAAATCTTTCGTAACCGCTTTTTCTGGAAAAAAACCCTAGCACTATCTCTTCGTTCCTATCTCTCCCCCGCTATGGGGGAGCCTCCGCCTCCACCAAAAACCTTGGCATCGGTGGTGCCCGGTCCCAAAAAAGCCTCCAGTAAAAGACGACCCATCGCTCCAACTTATCATCGGCAAGCACAAAGGACGTAACTCAGTAAAGATACCAAAAGCTGGGTCTGAATCTCTTGCTACCGACCTGCAATTCGCTCTGGTGGGTACTGATAGAGTATATGAGCCCAGACCCCATGACCCACATACTCAGAATACTAAACACAGATATAACGGGCGCCTGAGTGGCACTTCATCGGCCAGATGACCCTCCATCCGCCAAACTCAATGGATATCAGAATACAGCCCAGAAGCTCAGGAGGAAAAGAGTGGTCCTCCGTCGGCCAGGTCCTCCGTCATCCTGGCCCTCCGTCGGCCAAAAAGGCTCCAGTAGGCCTGGTCCCCAATATGGTTATTTTGGAATCTTTGGAAGATACGAAACAAATTTATTTATGATAATAAAATGGCCTATCTTCGTGAGGCCATAAATAAATGCTATAAAACTGAAATTTTTGGCATTTCTATTGCCAAGCCTTTCATCTCCCATACTACCCACACCCCTTTCAACATTCTCACTATCCCACACAAGAAAACATTGAATATCCCATGCCCTCAAAGTTGGAATAAGACTCCTCCATCCCACCAAAAGATTAACTTTCCCACCCGTCTCCTCAAGGTGAATTTGGCACGGACCGCGACGCTCTTTCGGGATGAATTTGGCAACCACATAGGCCATATGACTTTCAATGCCACCGGCCCACCACCACCAACAGTTCCATCGTTGCCTATGATGCTATCTATCAAACTATTATCAACATCAAGAATAAAAATACTAATTTTATTCTTGAAGTAGATTATAGGAATATTTATGAAGGCATTACTGGTACTTTAATTCAGGATTGGCAATATTGGCCCCACATCCAGAAAATCAGGACACTATCGGGTCACAAGTGGACTATAGCACACACGCATCCACAGATAAACACAACTACCGAGTATTTAGCCTACAAGAGCATTTCCATAACAGTAAACAATCATCATTTTAAACATTTTGTTGGAATCCTAAAGTTTGATGCTATTAGTAGGGGTGGGCAAAAATACTGAACCGACATGGTACCGAACCGGACCAGTATGGTACCGGACCGAAGTATAGTTTAATTATTTAAATTTGTACTACTATAGTTTATTTAGAATTTATTAATTATGTAATATGAAATTTGATAAATTGTGTGAATTTTTGGAGGATGGATAAACTTTAATTTTCACTTAAAGACTTGGAAAAAGTGGCATTGTTTGGTATTGGTATGACATGATACTGTCCCGTTTGAAAATGGCGTACCGAACGGGTTTAGGTCTAAGACCGAATCAAACCATTTGAATAGTCACGGTACGGGTACAGGTTCGGGAAAATATTGGATCAGACCGTGCACACCCCTAGCTATTAGTTATCCATATGTATTTTAAGCAGGGCAGGCTTTGATCTAGTTCTCTTACTCATGTACTTTTCATATCATTAATAAAGAGATAGGGTGTTCACTAGCCCCTACGCCAAAGAATCTTTATGATTCTTTGGATTTAAAACCGGGTTTTAAAAACATCCGATTCAAGATTATTCAATGACACTTAAAAATATTTAAATTAACAATAATAACAACAATAATAATTTTGAATGCCAGATATACACAAGTTGCAAGCCTTGAGAGGGTAGTTCGAAAGCCGGACTACTCCGGTAAGACGGCTTGAGAGGGTATTTCAAGGCAAATGTTGTTCTTTACAATTTCAAACTGATTTTTTTTACATACTCATGACTAAAATAAAGGTTATTTACAAAAATGTGATCTCCTATGTGTATTGACTATAGTAGTAACTTAGTCATAAAAATTTATGTTCGATTTTTATCTTCAAGTAACCATCACACTATACTATAATACAGAGTAATTATTAGTCATATTTTTAAAAATAAATTTTATTTCAGTAACATTTTTGAAAATAAAAACTAAAAGTCTCAAACAACTCAAACTAATAGTGTCGGCGTGTTCGAGACTAGTTTTCTAGATTCAGTATTACCCGTATATTTCCCTGCGAAGAGATTTCCCAGTCTTTCTCTCTGGGAGATCTAATCGTTCTTTCGAAAAGGAGAAATCACGTGGATGCCTAAGGTTAAGGATTATCACCGTTATGCTGGAAGATGTGGTTTTACCGCTAGAGTTTTCTTAGTCCGCTATCGTCTTTTGGCGAGGAGCGATGCCGCCTTCCAGCAATTCGTTTGTGGATAGGGAGATTCGGCTGGAGGAGAAGATAGCGGAGGCCAACAAGGTAGCCGCAGTATACGATTGGGTTGATAGGAGGTTCGAGCAGTTTGATTTTCGGCAGCAAGGGTTAGGAGGCGACAAGGGCTATATGGAGCGGATGGTTGACGAGTACAAAAAGATGAATATTGAAGAGGATGCCGAGGATGTCGGGGAGTTGGAAATTGTGGCAGTAGGTTTGAAGGGAATATTTCAAGATGAAGGATTGAATATTTAATTCCGTTTTACTCTTTCGGATTTTTATCTTATTCTGTCGTATTTCTGTGGATTTGGATTTGGACATGGGTGATGATTTGATTGCGATGACCGTATTTGGCTCATTTGTGCCCATGAATGGATCCGTGAGTTATATTACTGAGGTGATTAACTTTGAGTCTGGTTCAAGGGACGACGGTTGTCAGGAATCTTTTTGTCGGATTACCTACTATCTAAATGATGTGTTATCAATTTAAGCCCATTTCTTTCAAAAAAAAATAGTGTCGGCGTGTTCCGAAATAGGACCGTACTGGATCAAGTTCAGGCTTTTTTTAAATAAATAGGCAAAACAACTCAAAGTCTCAAACCAAAACCAAGAATCACTTTGGGAGTTTGGGACCATAAGTCCATAAGCGTGCCCAGATTACCCAACACCTATGTAGCACCTATACAGGTACTCGGAAACGTGGAAACGCAGAAACGAGAACAGGGATACGATAAAATAAAATAAAAAAAAAAGTAGGATATAAATACGGAGCCATATTTATAAATATTAAAAGTTATGGGGGTGTATTTTTAAATATTAAAAATTATAGGGGTGTATTTATATATATTAAAAATACATTTTTTTATAAAAAAAATATACATATATAATCGTCTGACGTCTACCCATTCTGGCATTGAAGCATTTTACATTTTCAAGATACTTAGAAATAAATACATATTTTATCTCACATACACTAGTGACTAGTGCATCTCGAAATATAAATGTGTTCAATAAGTCATTAATAAAAAATGAAAAGTAAGTCAAACAACTACAGTTTTGAAATCTATATATATATAAAAACGGAATAGTGGCAGCAACCCCTTGGGCGGGAATACTGAAGTTGCAGCTTAGGCGAAATTTGCCGTGCGTAAATGAATGTGAAGTTGTGGATAAGGCATGGCTGGACAATTCATTTAATGCATGTGCTGTATTTCAAGGAATTATGCTATCGAGAAAAGGCTCAGCAATCAAAGTAAATATAGTTAAATAATCATGACTTTTTAACTTCTCAATATTCGATAATCAATACTGAGTTATCCAATACAATCAAAGTAATTATAGTTAAAGATGATTTAAAAAAATTGTGCGTCCTTTGGCATTTATTGGCTCCATTGAATCGGACTTTGGGGTGTTAACTGCTAACCTCTCTTCTGAAGTTCAACTATATATATAGACCTGCGCAAGCACATACAAATTAAGTCAAATGCGTGGGTGAAGTCAAATGCGTGGGTGATGTGAGAACTCAACTTGAAGATAGATTTTGACGGTAACCTTTCACTCATGCATTGCTAACTCTATTACCGGATTGGCTATCAGATTTCTCATCAACGATGTATACATCATTTAGATTTTGATAGCATGCCGTTTCAAATTTATTTATCACTACTAATTACATTTACATCTAATCAAGCCCAGTTTATAGCAGATCAGATCACAATATATACCATGGTTTCAATTCCATTATTATAAATCAATATCATCTAATCAACGGAGGAAATTAAACAAACCGCTCGATCTCTATTTCTTACGCATGTGAGCTTATTTCATCTCTATTTCTTACGCATGTGAGCTTATTTCTATTGATCTATTCGGCATGGTAATAAGATCCCTCAACAGGACAATGAATTCTAGATAAAATTTTCAGAGCAACATTAAAGAGCCACTTTAGATAATGTTTTGCTTATCTCCTTATTCTAAATGCTTGAATTTACACATTAGCACTTCATTATGAGCGTTTAGTTGTTTGTTTTGTTTACTCATTCAGTCATTTTAAATGACTACATACCGTTCATTAAGCATGCTGTTGTTTTGTGTTTTTATAATAACTTCATTTTCAAAAACAGGAACTCATTGACTAGCTTTGTGTTGAATCCTAAAGGATTTGAATAAGTAAAGATCAAATTTATTTGAGGGACATGAGGAATACCATACCACAAAGGATTTCAGGAACAGACTAGCAGAAAAAATCAAATTAGTAATATAAAAAATAACCTCCCAATACAACCCGGATTGATGCTTGCCCAAACTATAGTGACATGTGAACAAAGTAAGAACACATTAGAGAAAGATTATTTCAAATTAACTAAGAAGAACACAATGTCTTTTCTCACACAATAACTCTACTACAATTTTAGACCTAGCGTAACATTAAAGAGTTATAACATATCTATAAAAGTGTTGCATATTTCTCTAACGTAACACTTTTTAGTTCTAATGTAACACTTTCTAGAAGTATAAATGTTACATTATGAACTATAAAGTGTTACAGCAGTTCTAATGCAACATGGGCAAATGTAATGGTAAGAAAGTGTTACATTTTCTCTAATGTAACACTTTTTAAGTGATATTTTAACACTTTAAAGTGATACATTAGGAGTTGAAATGTTGTAGTGTAACTATATATTAAAAGTAAATACATCTTCGGTCACATTAATACTTGAATATAAAAATAAATAATTTTTGTATACACTAACAAAAAAATTAAGCGCAAAAGAAACAATCCATAGAGCAAAATCGACCAAGATACATGGATTTCAAGTAAGATAATTCAACACATTAGAAATGACCAAAATTGATTAATTGGTTAATTGATCAATTGGATTTCAACTACCTATCTAAATGACCCAAATTCATTAATTGGATTTAATTTCAAACAGAAAACAAGTCAATGAGTTGAACCTGGGCGTGTTGAACAGATTGAGTGGCCATTTGTTTCCTCACACTATACTTAGCCCACTCACCTTATGAGTCTGCCAACTTCATTTAGTAACACAATGAAGACTTTGCATCCCATATATAAATCAAGTGTGTAACATAGACTGAAAAGTAAAATTGGATTTTGTGTTCAATGGAAAACTTCACCGATCGAAAGCAAAAGATTTAGATAACTTATCTGTGAATTGATGGACTGAGAAACCTGGAATACAAGGTCAAACAACTCTTCAAATATATGGGTAAACTCTTCTCGCGCGAATTGAAATGTTGGAGCTATGATTGGAGTTATAGATGGCTGGTGTATGTGCATATCTGAAGATTTTTAGATTTTTTGTAGAAAGTGTCAACTGTCGACATAGAGAGGCTGTGTTTGGCTAGGAGGCGTGTTAAGCTATTGGGAATGTGTAGTGTTTGCTTAATCCGTATAATGAAGCGGTGGACGGTGATGGGATAATGAGAAATTGGAGATGCTGTTTGGGCAGACGGCCAGGTGTATATTATGGTTGATTTTTCATATGCTTAGGTGTAATTTTTTTAAAAATTAGAGTAAAGTAACAACAAAAAATTGAACTATTTCTAAGTCCTTTTTTTTTTTTTAATTTTTACATCAAAATTAAGCACACATATATACACACAGTATATGTTATTCTTTGACTAACTAATACGGTGAATGCATTTTTAGAAACAACACGTCAAATAATGTATTCAAGGAGCGTTGAATAATGGTAATCATTTCCAAGTATTAATATTTAATAATAATAAACATATACGTAGTATAAAATATGGGACCATTTTAATGTCACACATGTTTTAAAGTAGTCTCGGTAATAATGCTTTGGAAGCAAAAATTTTAACAGGAATAAGTATAGGAGAAAAAGTGTTGATACCAAGGATGAAAACTCCCTTGGATATGAGAATTTGGAAGAGATAATTTGAATTTACAATCCATTTTATTTTTTCAAATTGAATTTTGCACCTGTTTTTATTTTTTTTTGTGTTTGCACCCCAACCCCGTATGAGTAGACAAAAATGTCCCTATATTAGAAATATGCTGAAGGCCAACGGAATTGTTAATGGAGGGGCATTTTGTCTTTTCATACAGGGTTGGGGTGAAAATGCAAAAAAAAATAAAAATGAGGTGAAAAATTCAATTTGGACCATAAAATGGGGGTGCAAACTCAAATTACCCAAATTTGGAATTCTGAAAATTGATTTGATTACGAACATGTTTGGAAATACAATTATCCAAGAAAATATGTCTCGTGCATCGCACGGGTACTATACTAGTTGAAATTAAAAGTGCAAGTACTCAAGGTTCTAGAATAATGAAGATAGAAAACAATACGTAGTATTTTACAAGTTCTCATACATATTTCCGATTGGTGCTATTAATTTATAGGGATAATTAGAATTAGGGACAGGAGGATGAGTAAATTGGAAATAGGACCATTAGTAGTGTACCACATAAAAGCAAGGTAAAAATTACTTTTAGATTTTCATCTTTTAAGAGTTTTATTATGTAAATTTTGGGTGTTTTGTTTATAAAAAAAATGGAAGATTTTTTTTTTTAAGTTGATACGTGTATCCGTCAGGGTACGGGTATCCGAAATTTTAAAATAATTACCAAAAAATGGAAACTTTTAAAAATTGCAAATACGGCAAGGGAACGTACAGTACGAGTATCCTAGAGTATCGGATACGGAACGTTTCCAATACGTCGATACAGTACCAGATTCAGTTGAAAAAACTGGAAATAAACAGAGCAGAAACATACGGTAGTTGATAAAATATATTCAAAGAATGTAAGATCTCATATGAAGAAACAAGGTATGAAGTAGGAAAAGAATGCGGTGAGAAAATGAAGAACCACTACTGATATGATGCCACCAAGTCCTTGAAGTGAGAAAGGAGCTCATCGACTGTCATAACCTTGTGATCGGGATTGTCTCTCTCTCGAACGCTAACCTATATACCAAGTATTTTATACCAAAGAAAAACGTTTACAGAAATTAAAAGTGCAAGAGCAATACCATCAAGAACACTATGACGAAGATGAAAACAAATTCGACATGACTTTCATCAATGACATCCACAATTTTATTTCATTATCCTCAATATAAGCTACTCATTTTCATTGTTAGGGCTGGCCCTAAAATAAACTTACACTTTAAAGGAAAGATCTGTGTGATTGATATTCTTTCTTCCTTGGAGAAACTTGAACTACCCCATTTTACTTTCTTAATTAAGGGGACAACGGAGTGTTTGTTATGTTTTACCTTGGTCTGATAAGAATATTTGTTTTGGTAAGCATTATGATATGTCTTGTCTATTTCAATTATGAATATATTATAAGAAGAATACAATGATGTTATCTGTAATGATTTAGTAGAATTTTCCTCCAAAAAATATTTTTAAATAATATACTATGTATAAAAATATTATCCTGTAATAACATTAGTCATGATCATAATAAACAATGACGGCATTGGATTTAACTGATAATAAATAGTATTGTATATCACATGCCTATTTTTTTGGATAAACTGTAAGTATATTAAAGGAGCCACCCAAGAAAACAGAGGTTCAGAATGTACAAGCAAAAAAAGGAAACAAAACTGCAGGTTATCCAACATGGATAACCCAAACCTAGCAAAAAGATCATCACATGTCTAAAATGTTTTCATTGGCATTATTATTAAAATGTTAGCATCAAAATGTTATCATTAGCACAATCTAAATTCTTTCCCCCAACATCCGATCCAATTTGAGAAGTTACAACAGCTATTAAGACAAGATGGCATAAAATACAAATATACCTCTCTGGTGGTAACCTCCTTTTCACCAACCACTAATATGAAGTTGTATTCTGCAATCTGAGCTTCTCGTACCTTACAACAATCAAGAATGTCAACCCACCAAATGAAGACAAAACTAATGCAAGTGCAAGATTATCTGTATTAGGTTTTTGCTTACTTTTTCCTGGACAGTCTTGTCCGATGTATCAACATCAACATGAAACCCCGCACCATGAATCCGATCACGCAGCTGATCAAACATATTATAACTAATAAGATACACATAAACATCATAAAGACTTCATTCACAAAAGGGAGAACAGCATACGAGAAACAACAAACTTACCGATCACCATACAATACAATAAAATAAATACTATATAAACAAATTACATGTATGTCAAGTAACAGATTGGTAAAGCGACTGTTGTATACCAACCTTTATTCCATATGATTGAGATTTGTCTGATAGAGGACAAACCAATGCTTGGCGTGGACTTAGCCAGAAAGGCCATTTCCCCTTAAAGTGCTCCAAGAGTATAGCAAACATGCGCTCCACAGAACCAAGGATAGCTCTATGTATCATAACTGGTACCTCCCTCTTACTCTCCTCTTCTGCTGAATAAGATAACTTGAAGCACTCAGGAAGTTGAAAGTCCAGCTGAAACACATAAAAAAATAACATTATAGATACATATTAATATCTTTAAAAATAATACTCGTAAAAGGATACTAATATACTACGTATGTTTAATAACAAGTGTGATGTTTAATAAGAATCCCTAAAGAGGTCGCAACCAATAGAAGCTGAAGCATGAAAACCTGTAGTGTTGCACATGGGAAATTCCTTTTCATTGCGTCAGAGACACTTATATCAATTTTTGGCCCACAAAATGCTCCACCGCCCTCATTAATCTGAAAACACCAAAGCTTAATGTGAGTGGCAATTAGGATATATAAGATATAGGAGGGATGAAAATAGTACTCCCTCCTCTGTTCTTAATAAATTTGTCATCTTTCCTTTTTTTGTCTCAAAAAGTTTGCCCATTGTCACTTTCCCTTGTGATCAATTATTTTGTTGCCTTGTTATTTTTTTTCTTCTCTACACAAACCTCAAACACACAGTTTTTACTTTATTATTCTCCATGCCGGTGAAACTTGGAAAAGTTATAAGAGACGGAGGGAATATCACTTTTTTTTACTCCATGGGGGTCTGGGGGAGGGGGGCTGGGGGTTGGAGTAATCAGGGCTGGAAACTCACTCCATTGAGTTTCGAACCCTTATGTGCCTAGCGGGTTTCGAACTCGAGACCTCCCACTAGGCACGATAACCTCACAACCAGCTGGGCTGGAATGCTTGGTTGGAGGGAATATCACTTTACTACAGTAAGAATAATGTTGTGTAAATGACTAGATGTGCACACATCAAAGCTTAAGCCTCATTGCGAGAACCTAAGACTTGAGCCTATTAGGGCTGAGGTTTCTGCCTCAAGACTTGTTTCTGATGTAACTACAGTGACTACAAAATGGGCTCATATGCCTTTTCCTTATGTACCTGCTTTAAAGACATTATTTTCATTTTGGATCTAGGAATGTAATTCTACTATTCTGGCCATTTCACATTGCTTAGTTTATCAAAGTGACACTTTGCTTTGTCCTTTGAAATGACACTTTATGATGTTGATTTTGTACACTTTTCGCCTTGAAAATCATCACTCACACGAGAAAGTTGTACATCAACCCAATCCATTCGTAAATTCTATGAGAAGAAAAACATTATAACCCACTGGCACAAATTTGACCGAGGTAAGAGGTCAAGGAAGACGAAAAGCACCCACTGTCAACAAGAAAGAAAAAGTCACCCATATGAGATGATAAATCACAGCAACAAAATGACCCAGAGGAGAGGAATTATAAACAACAAAGAAAAACATGAGCCTCAACTACAAAAAATCAGCACACGAGTAGAAGAGGAAGAACCAAGAGGTAGAAGAATAAATATACCAAAACTCAGGGGTGATTGATGAAAAAGATAGCCTGCAAAAAAGGATTACAATTGGAGGATGATGGATTGAGTGGGAGTCAGTTGGAGACTTGGAAAACGCCTGAGTATGTCAGCAGCAGCTAGTTCTGTTGACTGATGTAGACCTTTATTCTAGCCCACACAACATAGAGAAAGGATAAGTAGAAGAGTCTTACGTGCAGTGTTGCAACAACATACATTAATCCTTGAATCAAGTTGACCACATTGAGTCAAAATCAACCTTTAGTGTTGAAATGTAACTAGCTTCGTTCCTTGCTTGCGCTATGCGCTTAAAAGAGTTGCTTCATCAATGATAAGTGTGAATGAACTAAAGCTTACTACAGAAAAATGCTAATGCTAAGTAACTCAAAAAGTTTATTTCATGTTAAGTAATTTAGAGGTGGCAAATGTAGATGACAATTGCACTACTCATTTCAACAGAAAAATGCTAATGCTAAGTAACTCAAAAAGTTTATTTCATGTTAAGTAATTTAGAGGTGGCAAATGTAGATGACAATTGCACTACTCATTTCAAGAGCGTCTTCTTAAACAATAACTCAAAAACTATTAACTAGAGTTGAGCACAATTGCACTCTACAAAGGATGTTGTTGGTGGAACACAAAATACTAATGCATTAATTAGGCTAGAATAAAGTGCACCGAGCATAGAAGCATAGGACAAGATGTCAAGATTTTAGCGACGAACCTCCCATGGTTTCCCAAATTCATTGAGCGCATCTGAAAGAGCAGCTTCTGCTTTTTCCCAAGTTGCCACTTCTCCATGATATTCTTCCGGTCTCTGCAATTAAAATTAGGGGTTGGATTCTTCAAGGTGTATAAGTGATCAGGGGCGGAGGCAGGGCACTGGGCCGGACTGAGCCGATACAAAGAATATTTTTAGAAAAAAATTTACACAAAATTTTTTACCTTAAAAATTAAGCCATTTTTAAAATTTGGGGTGGGCCATGGCCTAGGTTGGCCCACCCCTAGTTCCGCCCATGTAAGTGATCAAAATTCACAAATTGTAAGAAGTGAAAAAACATACTGTAGATAGCTTCAGCTGATAGGTGAACCCAAATGTCTTGTAGACATTATCCATGAATTCTAATCCACCTCTGACTTCATCCTTGACCTGTAATAGCAGAATAGGTTAAAGTAGTTCTGTAATTTCAAAAACTCGAAGCCAAATCTTCTTGCCTAACTCACCTGTGACTCCCTACAGAATATGTGAGCATCATCCTACAGAAGTGGTATGGCGTATGGGTTAGAATATAACAGCAATAGCATGAAAGCGAATAGAGCCATAAAAGCCAAAGAGAAAAGAAGGAAAAAAACTTAAATATGAACCACCATTTCATATTGTTTTCAACCTAAAAAGTCAGTCAAGATCGGGATTAAACAAACTGTTACTGGTGAAATAAAAAACACTTAAAAGTCTCTGAGTAATGAAACATTTAAGAGTACCTGCTGAAATCTTCTGACACATGTTAATCCTGTAAGTGCACCACTGGCCTCATTTCTATGAAGAACTCCAAAGTCTGCAAGCCTAAGTGGCAATTCTGCATGGTTGAATTATAGGTAAATTTTTCATCACGTACATAAACATGACACTTAAAATCCAATGAAGGATGTTTTATAAATCTATAAGATATAAACTAATTGTACCTCTGTACGAGCGAACTCTATGGTCAAAGATTAAGCAATGGCCAGGGCAATTTATTGGCTTGAGACCAAATTCTTGTTTATCAATCTGCACAAATACAAACACTAGAAAGTCACTACAAAAAGAAAAATGAACCAAATATTTGTTCATCGATCTCCAATAGCTTTATTGTATTAAACTTTTGGGCTAGCTGCATGTGCCTCACACAGTAGGAGTATTGTTATCAACAAATTAAGCATCACTGCTTTCATATTCAGAGGAATAAGAAAATGCACTATTTATAAACTACACTGTAATGACGAAGTAAGTGCAGATCTCCGAGGAGACAGAACAATGCCTTACCTCAAATACAAACATATTCTCCTTATAGTTTGTAACAGGAGAAGAAGTTTCCCAAAGCTGCATATTATATATGTTTGGGCTCCAAACCTGTCAAAAAGAGGATAAAATCATGATTCATGAACACATGTGATGAAGGAGGATAGACATTTAGTTCATGCATTGATAAATAATTGCCCGCACAAATATTGGCATATCCACACTACGACAAAGTGGTAGGTGGCACCTTTGCATGAAAACTAAAATTAGAAGAACAAAATACCTCTTCATAACCTCGCTTCCAGTATTGACTGCGCATAAACTCCAACAGTTTGTGGCACACTCTAGCACCATGAGGAAGAAAGAAACAACTTCCAGGGCTAAATGTAAAAAATTAAACATGAACATCATGCTGATTCTTGAACATCAAGCTTGACAATAACAATTCATGTTCTTGGATTCAAACCTTAAAGGATGAAAGAAGAATAGATCCTGCCTCTTGGTCAGTTCCATGTGATCACATTCTTTTGATTCTTCCAGCATTGCAAGGTAGGTATTCCTGCTAGAGAGGTTACCCAGGTAAATGTAATTCACAGAATGCACTTTTCCGTACTTTTAATCCCTTAAGAATGCTAAGGTCATAATATATTTATGGGAAAATTCACGAAATAGAAGTAAAAATGTTTGGAAATTCCAAACTAGGAGTGCTATTTTTTTTCCTAAATAGGAGTACGTTGGGGTCATTCTCAAAACTTACTGCCATGTTTTGGCATTACAAGACTTTAAACATGGCAGTATACAGCCACAAGTGGCATTAAATTTCAGATTTGACAGTGTAGAAAATGTTACATTAATTGTTATTTATTTGACTTAGTACATATGTAAGTCGTGTAGATAAGTCTTAGAGGTTGTTGCTTTAATTAATTATTAGATAAGCTTTGTAGTTAGCTAGATCCTAATTTTTAGGATCTCCACAGAGAGTTTGTTACTTTTACATTGTATATATATTCTGACCGTATGGCTCAATGAATCAAGGAAATTTATTCCCAAAACTTACATGGTATCAGAGCTCTCGGTTTAACATCACAATGGTGGAAACCCTTGATTCTGAACAATCTCAAACCAGTAATCCTAACTCCCAAATTAGCCCTATGACAAATTACCAGTCTTCTATGCATTCATCTATGTTTATCACTGGTCATAGATTGAATGGAAAAATTATTTAGAATTGTCCGTCTGTCAAGCTCGCAATTGATGGGAGGGGAAAACTGGGCTACCTAACGGGAGAAATCAAAGAAAAACTCCCCGGTGAGGATGGCTACAATTCATAGAGGTCAGAAAACTCACTGGTGACAGCCTGGCTTCTCAGCTCCATGGAGGCATCAATCGCCAAACCCACATGTTTATGAAAACGGCAAAAGAGACGTGAGATTCCATTAGAGAAACATATTCAGACCTTGAAAACTCTTCTCAAATCTTTGAATTGAAAACCATTCTCTCGCAGTCCAAACAAGGAGATAGAGATGTCACCACTTATTATAATGAGATGGTATCTCTATGACAGGAATTGGATCAATATTATGATGACGAATGGGAAAGTGAAAAGGATCTGGCCAAGCACAAGAAGAGAGAAGAGAATGACAGAGTCTACATGTTTCTTGCAGCCCGAGTTGCAGGAGTTAATCAAGGCCTGGATGAAGTGAAAGGAAGGATTCTGGGAAAGAAGCCTTTACCCTCAATCAGAGAGGTATTCTCTGAAATTAGACTGGAAGGAAGCAGGAGGAAGATTATGTACAACGAATCAGTACATAATGATGAACCTGGAGACTCTTCAGCAATGGTGGTTAGAGGTGATAAAAAGAAAAAAAACTGTGGTGTGATCATTGCAAGAAACTATGGCATACAAGGGAAACCCGCTGGAAAGTTCATGGGAAGCCACCAGGAGGAGCAGGAAAGAAAAAGTTTGAGAAGACTTTTCATACTAGTGTGACTGAGACTCAACAAGAGCAGCAAGTCAATTTCAAGCAGCCTTCCTTCACAAAGGAACAGATAGAGCAACTTCTTAACCTTCGAACTACTAAAAAGAAATCCAATCCAGAACTTTCTTCTTGTTCTTATGCCCAAAATGGTACCACTGCATCATTTTTTTGTTATGGAAAATAGAAAAATACCTGGGTCATCGACTCAGGTGCTATAGACCACATGACCTCTATTTCAGATCTTTTCTTTTCATATAAACCCTATGCAGGGGACAAAAAAGCCAAAATTACAGATGGCTCTCTATCAGCCATTGCAGAGATAGGAAATGTTAAAGTTTCCTCATCTATCAATCTATCTAAAGTCCTACATGTCCCAAATCTGTCCTGTAACCTCGTTTCCGTCAGTCAGTTAACCAAAGACCATCAATGTGGTGTTATTTTTTACCCATCTTATTGCATTTTTCAAGATATGGCATCAGGGAAGATGATTGGCAATGCTATGGAGGAAGATGGACTCTATATCTTTGATGAAGGGACTCAACCAAATAAAAGAGGTCAAAGAAATGCTTGTTTGCAAACTGTTTCTTTTTCCAATAATGAAGAGTTGTATTTACTTCACAATATACTAGGACATCCTAGTTTTTATTATTTAAAAAGGTGTTTCCTCAGTTATTTAATAATAAAGATGTTTCATTGTTTCATTGTGATATGTGTGCACTTGCAAAACATCATAGAAACTCTTATATCCCTCAAAGTTACAAACCTACTAGTCCTTTTGCTCTTATGCATAGTGATATTTGGGGTGCATCTAGAGTACCTACTATAAAAGGAAAGAGATGGTTTGTACACCTGGGTGTTTTAATCAAAGAAAAATCTGAAGAAACCATGTACGCCTAAACCCGCCTGCGGCGGCTGTTCCTCGTTACAAACGATAGTGGAGGAAAAAAACCTAGCGGTGGAAACCCACCCTAGAGAGAGTAAACAACAAAAATCCAGCCCATCCTAAATTTGAAAAATACTTGTAATTTTAGTGCAAAAATTTTAATGTAAAAAATATCTGAAAAAATTATTTTTACCAACCCACCCCAACTTTTGCTCCTGCCCAAACTAATGGGCTAAGCCCAATACTAGGGTACTCGGTAGAAGATGAAGATAATGCCAATCTTGAACCAAATAATGATTGATTGAGGATATATGAAGTTAGGATTGATTAGATTATAGGATCTTCTTTAAATGCTTTATGAATTATGCTAGTTATCGTAGAATGATTGGTTTTTCACTTTATAACCCGGAGCAATCAATCCTAATAGCAACTCGAACTTTGATCAAGCAGCTAGGGAGTACCAATTTAACTACTTGGGACCTTGGGTAATACCTAAAACTCAAAATAGCAAGCAGTTTCCAATATCGAAAAGTGTTTAATGAGCAAGAAAGAGTGAGTTTCACCTTTAGGCGTTTTTGGTAGGGGCTAGACCCTTTGCAAAGTTTTCACGCTCTTTATCTCCTCTCCAGTATGCTGAGGAAGCCTAAATATCAATGCAGATATCAGAGTTATTAATTGAAAAGAGGAAAAACACTCAATTATTCTTTTTAGTATTTACATATAAAGGCATTTATACTTGCTTATTCCGTAAGTTTCAATTTTGCCTCACCTCCAAGGCTCCAAGTTTATCCACACCATACCTACTGTAGCAGGAGCGTAACTGGGGAGCTCTACCAAGCTGAGTGACGCTTTGTTTGCAAATGCTTAAATAAAAACATTTTTTTATTTAGTAGTAAAAGTTGGTAGTGTTTGGTAAAATAAATTTTTTTCGTGTAATAGAAAAAATAAAAAGTAGATTCTACACAAAAACTGAGAAAGTAAAAGTTGATAGTGTTTGGTAAAATAAATGTTTTTTTCTTAAAAAAACAAAATCACTTTTCTAAAGTGATTGCAAACAAGCCCTCAAACGGCATGAAATGAAGTGAACATTTCTGTGGCTAGTTTTATTCAAAAAAATATCCATTTTTTTAGGCTGAAAGGCCAACCAGATGGGCGGGGTGAGAGTGGGTCAAAAAAATACTCCTCATGAAGTATTTGACATTTAAATCTATTACATTCTAAGTTTAGACAATAGTTAAATAATTTTGATTTTATAATTGAAATGCTTTAGGAAAAAATATTGATACATTAAAGCGTAAAAAAATGACAAATCAAAGGAAAAAACTTGAAAACAAAAAAGATATATAACATTTTACTTGAAGATACAGAGTTTAAAAGGTAAACATTTAACAATTCTTTTAAATAACTTTTACATTGTTTAACCACATGAATCTTATCGAAATAAAGAATTGATTTCAGAATTATAATTTTTATCTACCAAGGAGGTGTTCGTTGAAGAGTTTTCTTAATATTACAATAGTAGTTATGAGATTATTATTTTTAGAATAACATTATACTGCTAATTCAAATATATATATATATATATATATATATATATATATATATATATATGTATATGTATATGTATATATGGTGCATATTATATCTGTATTAATGTTAAAATAAGTTAAAGTTTATTATCTATGCAATAAATTATTTTTATAACGTAAGAAGTAAATGAATTGTATAATTTAATGTCAATAATCATGTATTTTTGATATCGTTTGTGTTGTAACTAGTGTGTCCGATATTTAAAATTGTTTGATATATATTTTACAAAATCAAGTATCAATTATCTAATAAAAATAATTAAACATTACAAATCTAGGAATTTTTATATAATAAGTATTCTAAATCTTACACAATGAGTTGTTATATTGTATATTTGTTTACGTTACATAAATTATTTTTTATGTTCCTTCTTTTAAATCTCCGATTAAATATTACATTATGTAAGACTGTATATTAATTTTGAAAACAGTTAGGGGGGGGGGGGGCAAATCTAATTAAAGTATGAAAATTTTATAAAAATAATACATATATAGTAGAAAATTTTGAAACTAAACATCCATGGCAACAGGGGCGGAGCCCGTGGACGGACAGGGCCGGTCCAAAAAAAAATTCTGGAAAATATTTACACTAAAAATAAAACATTTTTTAAAATTTGGACTTCATGGCAAGGTTACTTTCTCTCTTCGTAGAAGGGCCGACCCATGAGTCCATGACAAGTGTAGGGTGTGTAATGACGCAAGGCCCATAACTATTGAGTGCCCAAACATAAAAAATGAATACTCCCTATCAGTGGAGGAGTTGGGGAAGGGGCATGAGGGGGCAAGCGCCCCCGCTTCGGGCAAAAAAATTAGTACTACTACTTATAATTTATTTAATGGGCCCCTGTTTTTTTTTCAAAAATAAATACTCCGTATCAATAAAGGATAATTTAGATTAAATTTTTTAAAAAAAACGCAAAGTCTTTCAGGAAACATACTTGTCTCTAGGAATACAAGTATTGGTTGCAGCATACCACATTCATTTGAATGAAAGTGGATTGTTTTAGACCTTAATGACACACGGGTTGACTGTTCGTGATTATAGTGATCAAGAAAGTATTTAGTTTGACAAATATGTTGTCACATTTCTCGCAACAAAAAGATCAAAATATTCTTGAGACTATGTTGGATTCCCTCCTTCGTGGAGAATGTTATATAATAATAATGTGGAGTTTTCCAAAGAAGTGTGGAACTCACTAAAATCGTGTGAAAGTGTGTGGAAGCCTCTTTAACATTTTGAAGAATAGTGGTGTTCTCAAGATCCTTCTAGAAATTTAGAGAAGCTAGTGGATACTTTTTGGAAGAATCTAGATGTGTAGTGGTGTATGAAAATTTTTATAGCAACTTTGATGAGATTACTATAGAGTAGTTTCCCATTTGTATGTTAACCTTGAAGAGAGCTCTTGAGTGAGTGAAAGTGAGAGTCTCCTTGAGAGAGGAGAGTGAGAGCTTTTTGTGAGAAAATAATGCTCAAAGATATCGCATGATGAAGTGCACGTGATCGAGTTAGGTAGAGTGAAGTAATCTCAGATACAAAGAGTGAGTGAGGGTAGTACAAAGTGATATTGTCAGATTGAGTCTTTGTATTATAAGTGTGTGGATTTATAAGTGTACAAGAGTCCATGAGCTCGCGATCCTCGAAAAGACTAGGGGTCGTGTTTTCCCAACATGAAGTTATTATACAACATTTTGAACAAATTAAAACTTGTATGATTGATCTACCCAGATTATAGATATAAGTCAAGCAGTGTGTAATGAACTAATTTGTGCTAACGTATTACGCTTTTATTATTTTATTGTATTTTGAGCAAATACATAATAATTATTAGCCTTTAGTACGCCCCCCTTCGAAAAATCTCTTGCTCCCGCCACCAGAACCGGCTATAGCACCAAGGCACCTAGTCAAGTGCCTAGGGCACCACTTTAATAGGGGCCCCATTTTAAGAAAAAGAAAATACTACTACACATATGTACATTTGGTGATTTGGGCAGCCAAAAAACGCTATAAAGGAACACTTTATTAATAAAGCAAAGTGAACCAAGGCATGCTCCATTATCCCCAAGAGAACTAAATACGAAGTCCTAATGTATAATTTTATTATTGATATCGTTTTATAATGAAAATTTGTAATTTTAGATTTCAATCTTTGTTAGAAATTATTCTCTGCTATTAAAATTATCTCATTTTTTCTTTTTGATTGGGCTCACTAAGATCATTCTTATTTTATTTTTATTTCATTATTTCAACATCAACATCATAAAATCATTTTTTGATAATCGCACCACTTCCTCATATCTAAATGTTAATATATCCAATTTACTATGTTATTATTGTATATCCAACTTAGTATTTATTTTCTAATCATAACCATCATGTCGATATATATCATAAAAAGTAGTGGTTATGTTTATTTTTAAATCAAATTTAAATCAAATCTCAATTAATTTATCTGTGTTCTAATTAAGATCTGTGTATTAATATTTTTTGCTAACTAAGAATGCAATCCCTTCTCTCTTTCTCTCTAGAGAGAGGAACCCTAGCGATCGTCTCCCCTCTTTGTAGGGATTGAGATTTTCCGCCGCCCCTATCAATATGGGGTTGGAGCGACAGATTATACTGATTTTAATTGTTCTAACGCTTGGGATTGCAACTATGTATGAGAAGATAACGTTGGCGGATGAGCGAGGTGCGGCTGGGAGGTTGTATCGAGAGTTTGAGACTGGATCGTGAAGTCTTGGTTGGCCATTCCGCGGGTGGATTTGGTATTCACCCATATTGCAAGAGTTCGTCCTCCTCCGGAACCACCTCCATACCAGAAAGAGCTTTCTGGCAAGATTTTATTTCAGTATTATTTTCTCTTTAATAGCACTTGCTTCTGTTTTAGTCGGAGTATATTTGGTTTGAATGTTTGGATTTTTGGAGTTCTTTTGATAGGCAGAGTTTCGGTTCCGATCGTTTTAGGCTTAAATTTGCCCGTTTCAGGTTTAGCGAGTCATGTTGCTTTGTATGAGGTGGCTGACTCTAAGTCTACTCCTAGGGTTCACGGTTAGATCTGTAGATCTTGTTTGAAGATTGTCTTGTATGTGTTCTTGATTTTAATATAATGGCCGCTCTTTGATGATAAAAAAATTTGCTAACTTGTGTTTATAAATGGTGTAAAATTGTGTTATATGTCTGATCTCGGAGTAATTATTTATCAAATTATTTTTCTCATTATCTCAGAATGGCAGGATATTTATACAACCTATTTGGGAGAGAATCTAAGACATTAACTATACAATCTGCTAATTTAGACAATAGAATATCCTATTTCTAGAAAGAATAAAATATAGGAGATCTGGTATTAATACCAAATCAGATATAAAGTACAACAATAAATATTCTCTAAATCAGGAAATAAATCCACACGCCCCCTCAAGCTGGGTTGTGAATGTCAAACATCCCAAGCTTTCTAATTAATTCTTCAAAAACGGTTCTTGGTAAAGCTTTCGTAAGAATGTCAGCAGTTTGAAATTTTGATGGAATATAACATGCTTGAATGATGGAGTTCTCTATCTTCTCAGTAATGAAGCATCTGTCTATGTCAATATGCTTAGTCTTGTCGTGATGAACTGGATTTTTGGCAATGCTAATAGGAGCCTAATTGTCACAAAGCATTTGTATAGACCCTTCTTTAAATACCCCCAGCTCACCAAGTAATCTTTTCAGCCACATCCCTTCACATATGCCAAGAGCTAGCGCTCTGAATTCTGCTTCAGCTGAACTTCTAGAAACAACTGACTGCTTCTTACTTCTCCATGTTACTAAATTTCTCCAAACATAAGAACAGTAACCAGAAGTACTCCTATCAGTTACATCTCCTGCCCAATCTGCGTCCGTGTAAACTCTAATTTCTTTATTGTCATTCTTCTTAAAAAGGAGACCTTTTCCTGGAGTCATTTTGAGGTATCTAAGGATTCTTGTAACAGCTTCCATGTGTTCCTCAATTGGATTATTCATGTATTGGCTCACCACACTTCCAGGGAAACCAATATCAGGTCTAGTATGGGATAAATAAATAAGCCGACCAACTAGCCTTTGATATCTCCCCCTTTGATATCTCCCCCTGTCCACAAGTGCTCTACCTGTCTCTAAGCCAATCTTTTGGAGTTGAGGCTAGTTTACACCCAAGCATTCCTGTTTCCTTGAGTAAGTCTAGAACATACTTTCTTTGAGAAACAAAAATACCACACCTTGATCGTGCAATTTCCATGCCTAGG